AAGGCCCTTTATGAGGTGGATTGATTCAGTGACTGGTGTAATGGGGATGGGTGTATCGGAGATGGTGCGATTGGCATAGGACAGAGCAGAGTTTAGGGCTATTGTACATAGGGTTGCTATGAGTCGCAGGCGATTCGATGGCACATAACAACAACAACAACAGTGTGCTTTATATGTTCTAGGTAACTTCATTTCAAGGGTAAATTGATCTTGACTCTATATGACTCAAATTTTTCAATACTGAAGAATGGAACAAGAAGAATATACAAATAACCCCCACATATTGAAAGTTCACTTTATAGAAGATGTACATTAGTACCTGTTCATGGTAACTGAAAGAAATCTGAAGATTTTTCATTATTATGGAAAAAATGCACCAAGACGAAACTACCGTTCAGAGCTCTTAAAGATAACACTGCACAAGCCTTAACTTCGCAATAGAAACTACCCTCACTCAACATCAAGTTGCCATATCTTTGATCCATGTCTGTGAACATGGGATATTAGTAGTGTTTTAGGTTTATGTGTTGGTTAATTTGGTAAGTCATTTTTTGGACTGGACATGATCAAAAAAGTTTTCCATATAGTGTAATGGTAATGTTTCTTTTTACACCATTTCAGCATTTAAAGTTTCACACGAACACTCTTTTCACTTAGTACAGAAGAGACCTATAGGGAACTCTGATGGCCAAAAATATAACGCATCGCACTGTCAACCCCAAGACATGTGGTTCAAATCCACCAGCTACTCTGCAGGAGAAAAATGAATAGCCTTTCTCCATGCATTTAAAATCTTTGAAAACCTTGGAGGTTTCACTTACCAGGCTATTCCAAATAAAGGGCATGTAACAGTAACAGGGAAAACCTGCAATCTAGTAGAGTTAACTTTAGGGGGCAGTAGTAAGCTATTTTGCTTTCAATGTCATTGCTTAATTTTTGTCCTTGTTCATTTTTCTCTTTCCTAAAGCAAAGTATTACTTCTTTCACAACATAGATGGATAGCCTTTAATTTTTTTTAAATTTTGTCATTTTCACTTATTTAAAAGACTATGTTAGAAAATGTGGTACTTAGGAAAAACACCAGTGAAACAAAATAATGAAAATGAGGTCAGATTAAATGTACTATTTTGTACTTAGCATATTTTGATCACTTTGTCATGCTGTTAAATAAGCTGTTTTCATTACGTACTACTTCTAGAATCCCTGTTTAATAATTACGCTAGTTAACATAATGTATTATAACTATTTTACACATGTTCTCATTTATTCCTCATGCCATTATCTTCCTTTTTTTAAGATGAGGAAACAAGCACCTTGATATTAACATATGGATATACATACTTAGCAAGTAACAGTTAGGATTTGAAGCTTTTTTAAGAATATATGAATTGAATTCTATTGTTTAATCTATCTGACATAAATCTGTGCATGAATGTATAAAAATAACTTTGTTGGTGTTGCTTTTTGCCATTGAGTCAGAACTGACCCAAAGCTGACTCAGATTTTCAGAGGCAGTTAATCACACAGACGGACATTGTCCATCCTTCTCCCATGGAGCAACTGGTAGATTAGAACCACATGCCTTTGAAATTGCAGTATAGCTTCTTATCAGTAGGCCACCATACTTTTTAAAAAATATTGATTTATGAAATATATTCTGTTACAGTTTATAACATTCTTTAATCAGTTCCTTCTTGTTGAATATATTTTCTTTATTAAAAAAGTGCTTGAGTGATGTTGAAATTTTTTTATGTAACTCTTTCCTCATCTCATATTATCTTTTGTTAGATACCTATAAGAACAACTGATTCAGATTCTATCTTTATTATATCTTGGTAGGCTTGTTCTCCTGGTGGAGTTTACCATTTTGTAAGTCCACTAATATTATTGATACTGTTATTCTAGTCTGTCAGCTTTGATAGGTGAAAAAAAATCACAGAAACATGAAAGAAACTAGCATATTTACATTTCTGACATCTCTATGGTGTTATAAGTACATAACGTACATGTAGATTAAAGTTAAATGTTGCAGAGTCGTAAGAGTTGTCTTGCACATTATCATGTAATTGTCGGTAATTTTTTCCCCTTTTTACAGTTGATATCCTTCTCAAGGCTGTGGGAGATACCCCTATTATGAAAACAAAGAAGTGGGCTGTAGAGCGAACCCGAACCATCCAAGGACTTATTGACTTCATCAAAAAGTTCCTTAAACTTATGGCCTCAGAACAATTGGTATGAGACTAGTATTAACTATATTACTCTAAAACTGAGCAACGTTCCTAACTCATTAGGGCAACAGTGACTAATTGATGCGTACAGAAGTGTGTTTGAAGCCACACATTAATTTTGCAATGTCGTTTTATGTCTTTTCTTGGTGGAACTTGTATAATTTACTCAAGAATTCTCTAGAAAATGCTGAACTAAACCAATTTTAGATTTGCTTTTACAATAAGAACTAGATTTTCCCCTATCGTGATAAATATTTTTCCATAAAGTCACAGAACATCCATGCAGAAAAGATCGCTCACAAGATACTTTGTCCATAGGACATACAGTATTCATCTTCAACACCACAACTCAAAGGCATCGATACTTCTGTCATCTTTATTCGTTGTCCCAAGTTTCAGATGCATAGGAGATAATAAAAAAAGACCATATATTGAATCAGGAGCACCTTAGTTTTTAAACTGAGATTGTTGCTCCTTAGAATTTTGGGAGGTCCTTGACAGGATATTTTCCTAATTGAGTATGTCTTTGATTTTCTGACTGCTGGTATCAAGAATGTTGATTATAGATTCAGGTAAGGTGGTGTTGACAATTTCAATCCTTTCAACATCTAATGATGCATATTTGCTCAGTAACGGACATTTTTATTTTATTGATGTTGAACTGTAATCAATATTAAAGGCTGTATGTAGTCTCAGATCTTCTACAACAAGTACTTGATGGCTTCTCTACTTTCAGTGAGCATGGTTGTGTCATCTGCATAACACAGGCTGTTGATGAATCTTCCTCCAGTTCTCATGCCACATTCTTCATAGGTCTGGCTTCTCAAATGATTTGTTTAGCATGCAGATTGAATAGTTGTAGAAAAAAAGATAAAGCCTTAACACACAACTTTCTTAATTTTTTTAATTTTAATGAACGTTTACAGAGACTTAGGGTTTCCAGTCATTCATTGTTGCACTTTTCTCCCTGCCGACCCCCTCCCCCCAAATTCACTCTTAAAAAGAAAGAAAAACTCTTTTCATTGTTATATAATCCCTCCCCCCAAAATCCACTCTAATATTCAGCCTTTATTCTGGACCTGTAATGACAAGAATACCCATTCATCTATCCCTTTTAAACATTTCTCTCCCTCATCTGTTTCAATGCAATACACATCATTCCTCCCCTCCTTTTCTGTCTTCCCTCAACCCTGATGGCAGTCCTGTTTTACAACAGTGGCCCTATGCAGTATTTGTCCTTTTAAACCATATAGTGTTGTCGTGTTCTTTTCAGATAGCAGTTTCTAGATCTACCTATAGATTTTTCATGAACACGATTAAGTGTTAGAGTATTTTCATTCTTCTCCATGTTAAGCCATAGTTATGATTTAGAGAGTCACGTACCTTTGTATAGTTGGTAAAACACAGACATTCTTCTGATGGTCTCTTCTTTGATATCTCTGGTACCACAGTCTACTAAATCCGTTTTGAATTTCTGACATTTCTCTTGCCGATGTACAGCATGCTTTAGAAGTTTAATAATCTTCAAGATTTGCTTACATATGGTTTTAATGATGATATTCAAGAATTTCTACATTCTAATGGTTTTCAGTTATTAATGTGTAGAGTGTAGTTAGTGTGTGAGTAATTTCTTAAAAAGATCTTAACACTGAAATTTTTATTCTTAAAATTTAAGTGTAGACATAAAGGAAAATAACAGGTTACCTGAAATTTTATTTTCTAAAAAGGAAAAATTATCAGAAGCCTCTTTGACACTGTAATCTTTTGTCTCAATATCTTCAGAAATTTGAGTGTGAGGTGCTTTAAGAATAAGATTATAAAGACCTCTTGTTTTAATTTTGTCACTATACTGATATTGCACAGCCTAAAATCCAAAGTCTTTGAAGACATCACAGATCAGAAAGGTCAAAACAACCATCTGTTGTCCATTTACCCACCACAAAAATAACGAGTTTTAAATATATATAGTTAACACTAGATTTTGATAATTTTAACCATGTGAAATGTTATGTTAACAGAAATTGTGTCTCAATTATAAGGAAACAAAAAAAAAGTCACTTTAATAATATCTTGTGTAATTCTTCAAAAAACCAATTATTTTCAATGTTTCAGTTGTACAAGGGGAGCATTCCTGACATAGTTCACAGTGAGTTATGGTCGTTACTCAAAAGCTGAACAGATCCAAAGTTCAGATGCTTCAGTAGCCAAAAGAAAAAGCGAGGCATTCTTCTCTCACTAGGATTTATAGCCTTGGAAACTGCAGGGAAGTTAATATTAGTCAGAACCTACCTCATGACAGCTAGTATTGCTTTATCTTTTAGTTTTAGAAATTTAAAAATTACTGTTTAGCAATAAAAATTGTTACTTTGTTCCTTCTAAAGAATAATGAGATTTTTCATAAATATCTAATTAGAGAATTTGAAGATGTTAAGGGACATTTTCTTTAATTTTCAAGATGAAGAATTTCAAATAGTAAATGATTGGAACAAGTCCCATTTGTATATTTGACTGCTAACCTCAGGTCCCAATAGTTTTGACCCTCAAATCTGCAGAATAAAATGAGAGTCCTTCTTTGAAGTAGTTGTGCTTTAACCTGTGGGATCACTGTAAGTGAAAAATGACTGGACAGCAGTGGGTGGTTGAGTGGTGGCTGATTGGAACCTTGGAAAATTAGTTTAATAAGCTTGCCAGGGGAAATTAATCTCCCTAATTATTTTCTTTTTTCTTACAGTTTATTTATGTGAATCAGTCCTTTGCCCCATCCCCAGACCAAGAAGTTGGAACGCTTTATGAGGTAAAACTGCCCCTTTTGCACAGTATGCACATCTGTGTATAGTATAGTCATTAATCCATATCTTTAAGAAATACATGCTGGTTTTAGTTACCTATAGAGGAAAAGAGGTCATCTTTTTCTGTCTCTCAGACATCTTAAATGTAAGAGGAGCTGAATAAATTCTACAAAAAATGAAGAATACAAATATATAATGCAAACAAAATATGGCTTTAAAATATTCAAAGTAAGGCCACCTTCTTTACCCTCAATCAGTAATACAGATCTGCCTTTAAGGAATTGAAAGAGTATTTAAACCCAACACAGTTCATCTTTCTTAAGAGTTTGATAGTTGTTAGAGACATTAGCACTTTTGAAAAGCAGGTAAAGATGCATACATTGTGGTGGAGATATTGAGAGGAGACAAGATTAAAACAATACATAAGCCCATGCATGGTTCAGATCATTAATTGGCAAGTTTTACTAAATATGATTCTGTGTCAGTAACACCTCTTGAAGGAAATAGCCCTGACCATGTAGGTATGTCCAAGGATGTCTATGATAACACATGAATGTGTTCCTTACTTTGATCTAAGAATGTGAGTTTAACTTACTGCCTTTTTTCTTTTTTGATAGTGTTTTGGTAGTGATGGTAAATTGGTCCTACATTACTGCAAATCTCAAGCTTGGGGATGAGCCACTAAGGAAAACAACTTGCTTAAAATTTTCTTCACAGAAGAAACAGCTCTGAAAAGCTTTAGAGCTGTGACAAGACACTTTATGAATAATGATCAGCATGTATCTACCGTGGCCAGTGCTTATGCATGAAAAAACATCTGTAGAGTGGACTCCCAGAAATGCAACTTGTATTAATAGGCAGATCATTATAAAAAATTACAGTATGACTATTCCTTCTACAATTTATAATTCAAGTCTGCCTCCAAGGTATTGGAAAGGATATTGAGACTATTTATTTTAAAGTTTTGTTACTATTTCTTAAAATGCCAAAAAAAGGAAAATTACTTGTAGCAATAGCACTCTGTTGTTTTTTTTTCCCTGCTGTAAAAGTTTATTAAAGTGTTGATTTTTTTTTTTTTTTTAAATCTAGCACATGAAGTTCAGTTTGTTTTAGATATAGTCTTTGTCTTTTCTCATTTACATTTATGTCTACATTGTTTTTTTCTTGTAACACAAAGTAGCCTTCTGGTTTCTACTTACAGAGACTAGAGGGGCAGCCTCCTGACAAAAAGCATTATGCAGATTGGTTTAACAATTTTGCCAGTAACTGATGGGAATAGCTATTTCTGTTCATTTGTAGCCAGGAAGAAGAGGCATTTTGATACATTGGAAGATAGCTTTAGAGAATGTGCATAGTCTGAAAGGAACTTTCTTATTTGGAAACATTTTACAAACTGGACAAATATGCTCTTTTCAGCCATATCATATTGTTGTTGTTGTTATGTGCCGTTGAGTTGCTTGCGACTCATAGCGACCCTATGTACAACAGCCCTAAACTCTGCTCTGGCTTGTGCCAATCGCACTGTCTCCTACACTCCCATCCCGATTATCACAGTCACTGAATCAATCCACCTCATAGAGGGCCTTCCCCTCCTGCACCATCCCTCCACCCTCCCAAGCATGATGTCCTTCTCCAAGGACTGGTCTCTCTTCACAACATGTCCAAAGTATGTTAGACGGAGCCTCAGAATCCTTGCCTCCAAGAAGCCACCCTGTTTCACCCCCTCCAGGACGAATCTGTTTGTTTTCCTAGCAGTCCATGGTATTCTCAATGCTCTTCTCCAGCACCACAGCTCAAAGGAATCAATTTTCCTATCCTCTTTGGTCATTGTCCAACTATCTGATGCATAACAAGTGATTGCGAAGACCATGGCCTGTATCAAACTCACCTTAGTCTCCAGAGAGACACCATTGCTCTTCAGTATTTTGGAGAGGTCCCTAACAGCAGACTTTCCTATGGCAGTGTGCCTTTTAATTTCCTGGCTACTGGTGCCAAGAGTGTTGACTGTGGAGCCAATAAACTAAAGCTGTGTACAATCTCAATCTCGTCACCATCCATCCTGATGTTGCCAATTGGTTCAGTGGTGAGAATCTTTGTCTTCTTGACATTGAGCCTCAGTCCATATTGGAGGCTGCAGTCCTTGACCCTCTGCAGCAGGTGCTTCAGGTCCTCTTCATTTTCAACAAGCAAGGTTGTGTCATCTGCATAACGCAGATTGTTGATAAATTGTCCACCAATCTTGACCCCACATTTCTCCTCATAGAGCCCAGCCTCCCGGATAATCTGTTCTGCATATAGCTTGAAAAGGTATGGAGATAGGATGCATCCCAGGCGTACGCCCTTCCCAATTTTGAACCATGCAGTGTTCCCTTGCTCTGTTCTGACAACTGCCTCCTGGTCCAAGTATAGGTTTCACATTAGAACAATCAAATGTTCTGGGATTCCCATTCTTCTCAGAGTCAGCCACAGTTTGTTATGATCCACACAGTCAAATGCCTTTGCATAGTCAATGAAACATAGATAGACATTCCTCTGGTATTCTCTGCTTTCAGCTAAGATCCATCTAACATCAGCTACAATGTCCCTAGTACCACAACCCCTTCTAAACCCAGCCTGGACTTCTGGTAGTTCTCTGCTGATGTTCCAGTCATTTTTGGATAATCTTCAGTAAAATCTTGCTTGCATGTGAAATCAGTGAGATTGTTGTATAGTTTCCACACTCTGTTGGGTCACCTTTCTTTGGGATAGGAATAAATACCGATCTCTTCCAGTCAGTTGGCCAAGTAGTTCTCCAGATTTCTTGGCACAACTTGGTGAGCACATCCAGGGCAGCATCTGTTAGCTGAAATATGTCAGTTGGTATGCCATCTATTCCTGGAGCCTTATTTTTTGTCATTTCCTTCAAAGCAGCCTGAACTCCTTCTTTCATCACCATAGGCTCTTATCATATTAGATGTTTGAATCCCAGTTGTGTGTAATTGGTCTTAACTCTAATTACTAGTAATTCTGTCTGTATCTCTTAACTTGAAAGCCCTCAAAGAGTACTTGGAAAATAGCTCTAGAATTTGTTTCTGTATGTTTCATGCCATAACACAAAGTCAGAATACTATTTTCCTGATACTTTTAGATAATTAAGGAACCTGGTGGCATAGTTTGTAACCTGAAAGATTAACAATTTGAATGCACCAGCACTGGCTGGGAGAAACATGATGAGTGGTCTCCTTCTGAAACCAAATGGAGAGTCACGAGTTGGAATCAATTCACATTCAGTGGAATTTTTGGTAGTAGGTAATTAAAGTTAGATTTAACGTATTATTTCTACCGTGGTCTCCCCTTAATAAAAGAAATGAATATATTTATCCACGTATATATTTAACAAAAAATAAAATCTTTTGGATGTATTTGTAATGTTTGCGTCTAAGATTTTGGATGATAGACTATCAATCAACAATATCTGAGTAAATTTTTAATCAGATTTTTTATCTAAGTAATGGTTCATTAAATCTAAGAATAGCTTAAGTTGTACACTTCTTTGGTCTAAATAATTCATTAGTCTATGAAATACTAGTTTATCTAAATATGTATAACTTGTTTTCTACCCTAGCGAGCCTGGTGACACAGTGTGTAATGTATCAGATGGCTAATTGAAAGGTCAGCAATTCACATCCATCAGCGAACCATGGGAGAAAGGCAGGCAGTCTTGTAAAGCTTTACAGTGGCAGAGACAATTTCAATGTGAGTCAGAAATGGACTCTTGTGAATTGATTTTGGTTTTAATTCCTTCCCTAGTTAATATTGTCTTGTATACAAAGTGATTGCACTTTCAGGGGTTTCTATTTACAGATAAATAGCTGATTGACCATGCATGCTTCAACATGTAGGCAGCAGCATCTAGTCTCCTGTATCTCACATTTCTTTAGTGTTGTAATGTCATCTGTTTGTCATGAATTGTGTCCTTGATATGTGTCAATTTGGGTAGGTTATGATTTCAGAAGTGATATACCACCCTAAACACACAGTATCTTATCTTGAAAGTTAAGCAGGGTAAAGCCTGGTTAGTACTTGAATGGGAGACCATCTGGGAATATCAGGTGCTACAGCTTTCAGGATACAGCAGGCTTCTGATCTGTTGTTCATAAGATTGACTCCTCAATACCACTGACCCAGTGGAAGGTTCACTCCAGCTGTGGTGTTGGAGAAAAGTGTTGAATATCCCATGGACTGCCAGAACAAAACAGGTTCATCCTAAAGTGGTGAAACCAGGCTTCTCCTTGGAGACAAGGATTCTGAAGCCTTGTCTGAAATACTTTGGACATGTTTCAAGGAAGGACCAGTCCTTGGAGAAGGGACATCATGCTTGGAATGGTGGAGGGACACAGGAGAGGAAGACTCAATGAGATGGGTTGATTCCGTGACTAGGGTAATGAGGGTAGGTGTGAGGGCATCTAACGTGATTTCAGAATGATGTAACTGTTGTTTGTACCCTAATATCTGATACAAATGAGGCTAGACTAGTGGCAGTTTTTAAATGATGTACTCTTCCCTATAATGAGAAATGATCAGTTGTAAAGGGAGAGGGAGGATGAGCCATTAATTAGGTCATAGTCCTCTGATACAAGGAGTGTATCTTAGTTAGCTAGTCCTATAACATGCCACAAGCACATTATTCTAGCAAATTTATTTTAAAAAAATTAAGTTTGCCTATGGTAGTCCTGTGAACAAAAGATCTGAACCTTGCCCTAAATATCCTCACTATCCCTGCCATGCTCCAGCCCATTGTCACATTACCAGTCCATCTCACTGAGTCTCTTCCTCTTTTTTCCCCTGACCCTCTAACTTTGCCGGCATGATGTCTTTTCTGAAAATTGCTTCTTCCTGACAACATGCCCTAAGTATATCAAAGTTTCAACATCCTTCCTCTAAGGTGCACACTTGTTTCCACTTTCCCCAAAACAGATTTGCTTGTACATTTGGCAGTCTCTATTGGTGCTGGTGGTGCCATTGAGTAGAGTATGACTCATAGAGACTATGCACAACAAAACGTTACCCTATTCTGTGTTATCCTCATTTCTGACATACTTGAGTCTATTACTGCAACAATTGTCAGTCCATATGGCTGAGGATCATCTATCTGTTGGTGACCCTCCATCTTTCCAAGCACAATGAATGCCCCTATCCAAGGCATAGCTTCTTGCAACAAGCTCAAATAATGTGAGATGAAGTTTTTGTTATCTTTGCCTCCAAGGAGCACTCTGGCTACACCTTCTCCGAGACTTGTTCACTTGGCAGTGGAATATTCAGCACTCTTCAACACCCCAGCTTAATGGTATCATTTCTGTCATCCTAATTCATTACCCAGCTCTCAGACGTATATCAGGTGATTGAAAAGTATGTGGCCTGAAACAGGCTCAACTTAGTCTTCCTCTTATGACATACTGTTCCTCAGAGTCCAACTTCTCGAATGATTTTATTACTCAGTATACAGGTTGAATGTGACACTGATGTGTCAAATGCGTTAATGGTTGGCTACCCAATGCGGACAGAGAGTGGGGTGGAGCTCCCCAATTAAAACAAGCTTGGAAGGAGGAGTGGCATCCACTTCCATAATAGCTTGCCTCCGGAAACCCTATGAACCTGGAGAGGATGAAAGGCACCCAAGCATCAAGGACTTTCCTTC